AATTTTTCCTTCACTTTAATGAGTGGCAACATAAAGTATTTCATTGTGAATTTAATTATTAAATCTGCTCACATGTATGGATATCAATAGGTTTTATGCAAAAATGTTCCTTGCTTATCCATATCCAATTATTTATACGCTACCATAAGATGCAATGAATGAATGAATCGTTCACTTGTTTATTTACTTGAGAACAAAGATTTCCAATCTTGCATAAGAGAGCTGAGAATCTGGAATTCTGCAGATAGGCGGTCGTGTTCCTGGAACTAGAAGTAAGCAGAAAAATATAATAATTAGCACCATTTTTCCATTTTCCAGAAAATATCCTCTACTATAGGGATATATATAATCCATCAAATGATGAAATAATGTATTAGAATTTTGGCTAGTAAAACTTGAAGATTTATCAAATGAAGGTAACCTTACTTTAAAGAAACTCAAAGAAATGATCATTGATCTTTTGGGAATGAAGACTTTGTGTTTTTTGATTTTTCTGTTTGTATATATGTTTTTTCTATTGCTAGATACACTTGTTCATGTTTTGTTTTTCGATTCACTAATATTTAGCTATTTCATTTCCTCACTAAGCTCGACATTGAAAAATTTTTTTTAGGTTCTTAATTCTAGCGATAATATTGAAGCTATGGAGATTTTATCATTCACACATGTCAGAAGCGTTAAATAAATTTTTTTTAAGTGCATTTATATCGTACTGTAAGCACTATACACACTGAATATATTGCAAACAGATAGGATTCTCGAAGCTAAATATTCCTGTTTTGAGAATTTTTCTAATGATAGTTTCCAATGATTAAACTTTTTGCTAAACTAATATCTTTTTTTTTGTTCCTTAATGTACCTATAGTAACTTTTTCCTTTGCAGTTTACTCCTTCTGTACTTTAGTGATGAGGAAAGATAAGAGGACGACAACATTCTTAGATTTTATAGCAAGGAAGCTTCATTTTAAGACACTTTAAAAAACTCGTAATATACAAATAATTATAATAAAGATACTGTTTGCTTGAATTCTTTCTATTCAAAAGGTATAAATCATGTATTTGTATCATTCGAAATATTTTTAAAATATAACTAGAATTTAATTTTTTCCTTTTTTCCTGTATCTCACAAGTTTATTTTGTGTACGTCACGAAAGTTTTCTTTTTTTTCCACACCAATTTTCACAATACCACATTCCAGTAGTTTCGGTTGATAAAACAAATATTAACTGAAAGCATAAAAAAAAAGCTGATAGAATTTACATAAAAAAGAACTAACATGAAATTAAATAACACTAATTCTGATACTGTGCTTATTTCAAATTCGGAAGTATTGATTAAATCTTAGACAAATTAATGGTTTGTATAAGAAATGATTCATGGATAGCACGGAAAATTATGAAAAATTATGGTTAGTTGACGCCTTCTCCCATGATTGTCCTTTCCATCTAAAGTACTCACAAACTCACTAATTCAGAGCAAATTTTATTGCGATTTAGTAAAATTTCATTTTGAAAAGACGAATTCTTATGACAGCTTCAGTTTAACTTTTTTACGTTCTCTAGACTAACATATATATATATATATATATATATATATATATATATATATATATATATATATATATATATATATATATATA